ATAACGGCTTGGATGTGGCTGCGGATTCACCCCCCGCAGAATAGTGAAAGTGTACAAAAGAAGGACCAGCGGGAAACACGGGGAGCATCCACAAAAACGCATCCAAATTGTTTTTCTAGAGTTATTAGGTAGGGTATGCAGATCGTTTTCCCAGTGCTTAGCTTGGGACGCTTTTTGAAGGCCAGAGCCTAGCAAGCAAGAAGAATCGCAAAAAGCTACTCCACTAGCAGCAAGGTTCATACAGAGTGCATTTCAGGATATCAGGAAGGGCGGCCCTGCAGGCAAGGGTGGTATGTGCAGATGGGCTCGTGTCAAGTACTTGTCCCATGCCATGTGGCCATGGGTCAAAAAACAAAGCCCGTACCCCAAGTGAACATCCGATTCAATCCAAACACTAAAATAGGAAGCCTAAAATGGGTGGTGAATTCACCTACCAACCAAAATGGGATCCCAAAACGGTTTTGACAACCACAGCCATGTGTGTTCACCACTTCCGAAGCTTCCAGAGGCAAACACAAAATCGGCTCCCGTCAGGACTTCGATGTGATCATGAAGAAGCTGGGCGATGAAGCGCTGGGTTTCACCACCAAGGTCAAGGTGCCCTTGGATGTCGTCTTCGCTGAGATGCCCTAAGCTCGTGATTGCGCCCGATTTCGAAATCGGGGCGGGCAAAAAGGCGGCAGCAGGGGACGGGATAGTTGAAAGCCTTGGAGAGAGGGCGAAGCTATGATCATTCAGCAGACATACCCCAAGCTCAAGATCTCTCTTTGTTTGCGCTTGACTCGAGGAATTGTGGATTGCCAATTGGCAAATGTACGTGAACCCCCACTGATCCTCCATGATTACCTGCCAGCAGTGCCAGTTTAAAAAGAGCAACTGCATGAGATCAGATGCACCTGTCAACCGCCTAATTTTTATCTAAGTGGCCCCCAGATACCCCCAGCACTCAGCCACGCATCTTGGTTGCAACTTGCTGGTAGGTTACGGCCCAATGGGCGGCCGGCTGCGTGAAGCATGCCACTGTTAACTCAAGTGCCTTGATATCCAGCCCGCTAGGTGAAGCCACGCAGTTTCACTTGGGCTGGTTCTTGGAACTTGTCCTGCCAGCATGGTCCTGGGACGGTATGGGACAAGATGACGACAATACTAATTTGGAGAGGGAGACAGAGACAGGGACAGAGACAGAGATGACCCAGCCCTGCCCGCTTTTCCTTGGGATTTTGCTTGCGTTTCCACACCCCCCCACCCTCTCCCCCCCCCCCCAAGCCAATTCGATTCCTTTGACCTGAGGCTATGTGTCGGAGGTGGAGGGCCCAGATGGCGGCACAGAGCAGCACTACGGGGCCCGCCCGGGGGGGGGCAAAAACTGACCGACTGACTGCTGGTACTTTCGCCCTAAACGGAATCCCTGCAGCCAAAGCTTGGTGGCTCCCAGCCATCTCCTTAGCTTTTTAGCCTTTTAGTGTTTAGTGATAGTTTCCATTTAACCCGCTAAAAGGTAAAACTTTTAGCGGGGGAGCTGAGGGCAGCCCAGAAAAGGAACTTCTTCCATTTGTTGAAAGGAAGGCGTTCTTGATTTCCCCGTATGGGTTTTCAAGGGAACCACGGCTGGAAAAATAGCTGTGTTGTTTTTTTTGGGCGAGGGAACCCAATTTGTCAGACTGCCCATGGGTCCCAATGCCTAGGCTCTCAGCTTGTTGGCCCCCAGCAAGTCATTGGCACTACTCGTCCCTTTGAAACGCTTCGACCGGGTCGCCTCTGGTGGGACATGATTCGCCTCTTGTGTTTGATCAGAAGACGAAATGATTGATAGAACGAAATGACAGAAGAAGACCAACCCATGCCGCGTTGCAGACAGACCAACCCGGTGCGGAGTGATATGCCGGGAGTTCTTGGCTTGCCGGGACTTCGGGATGTTTCCGTTCAAGTCGTTGCGAGTGTCTGGAGTTGACTTGGAAACCAGCAGAACGCAGCGTCGCAAAACTGACACGGAGGCTTCCTCCAGCGGACGGAGTCACATTGAGGGCGTCTTGACGGATGGCGTCCTTCGGTTTCGCTTGGAACCCAAAAGCCAGAAAACAACAAGAGCCCAGCCCGTCAAGGTCGTCTTTGGGAGTGATTCCTTTCTTCCTTTGTTTCCAGGTTTGCTCTTCTACTTCCTGCCCTCATTGGGTAGTAAAGGCTCTGACGGTGAGAAGCAGCGTGTCGGTTCATTTCCCTGCGAACACATCCACAAGGAGCTCCGCTGTTGGACGGCCAAGTTGTGCCAGGAGGATTCCGAGACCGAGAGTGGTGCCATCACCTGCTTCCGCACCTCGAAAGGCGCGGACTTCCATCCGAGCATGGCTCTGAGTCTTATTGCCTTGCACGGGGAAGGGATATCATTGGCATGTTACAACATGTTCATCTTTTGTGACGCGTACTTTTTTTGGTTTGACCGGGAAATGGTGATGATTGGTATTTGTTTATGGCACCTCGAGCAAAGGCCATGCCCGAGATGTGTTCGTTTCTTCGAATTTACCTTGCAGCTCGTGGTAATACTGATGTGTATGTGGCGCGGCTCGGTTGCCGGAAAATGGCTTGTTTGTTGTTCTCAGGTGTGCAGGTAACAGCAGGTGTGCTTGCAACCTTTGGTTGCATGGCTGACAAATATTGAGATGTGCGTTTGCATACCTCTGAGCGTGTTTGTATTACACTTATTACACACTGGGATTACACCCTTGGGAAATGACCCAAAATGGTTCAAAATAACACGGTTTTATCCGGAAATGCGCCCAAATGGGGTCAATACCCAGTGGGTGTATTCCCAGGGTGTAATATCAACACCCTTAGAATACCATGTCTTGCCACCAACCTGTGGACTGGCCGAGGTTCCAGCGCGAAAAGACCCGTAAAGGATGACTTGGACGTTTGGCGGGTTTCCTTTCAACTTGTCCTTTTTGCAGGGAACTGCAGGTTTCAGTCCTTGTTTCCACGTACCAGGTGCCCATTTTTGACCGACAACCATGTGTTTCGTGAGCCTGTGCTGTTCAAAGGTAATCCTTAATCCTTACCTTCGGTTACGCAACGAGGTCCCTTTCGTAGCAGCTTCCCTACAAGGGCAGGCCGCTACACTCAACGTGCACGATGGTCCTTTGGTTGCGGGAGTACGCAAGGGGCGTTTGAGGCCTTGGGGCAAGCTGGTTGGCGATTGCTCATCCTCATTTCCTCATGCCCGATGTTTCACAGATGAACTGGGCGCCATGTTTGTCAGTAGGTCGGGGGGCAATGTGAAAAGCAAACTTTGCGTGTGGTGAATCTCGGGAAAGTTTTGGGGACCGGTCACGCCGCAGTCTTGGCTGCCTTCGACTTATCTTTGCCAGGCTAAATGGGTGCGGGTCAAAATTGAACCACCAGGGGACCGTAGATTTGAGTCCTTGGTTCCATTTACCCGGCTTCTATTTAGGGTACCCATTTTTGCCCCACAGCCAAATCGCGGAGCGAAGTGCTTCATTTCTCGCCTGGGCGTTGCTTGTTCCTTCCCTCTTAGCAGTTCCCCCGCTTGCTTCGGGGAGCCTTCAGGACCCGGCTGAACCGTTCCAATGGCACCTTCCACTATCCCTGTAAGCCATCCAACTGGCGGTTTCCTGTGTTCGGGGATATCCGGGCTCCACTTTTTGACTACCCCAAGGTAGACTTAAACCCAGGGGTGGTTCATGTCCTCCAAAAGGAGAACCCCTCGGTTTAAGTCTATCTTGGGGTAGTGAAAAAGTGGAACCCGTGTTCCCACATTCCCTATCGCAGCGATCGCAAGTTGTGCTGGGCACCCGTCTCTCGCGCCACCGGAGCGGTGCAGGAAGGTTGGCCTGCAACGTGCCGGAGCACGGCCAGGAGCCTGAGTCGGGGGAGGGGTGGGGAGGGGGGCCATCTCCCTGGGCGGCAAAAAAAGAAGTCGCCGTTGCTTCGCCGATTTTGGCTAGGTTCAGTCCTTGTTCACTTGGCAAGTTGGTCTAGTTCAGGTTGTTTGGTGTTGGGGTTCGAACTTTTGCTTTCAGTTGATATTCCTCGCGAAAAGCAGGCGACAAGCCTGCACTAAGCTGGAGTCATCAGCATTCGGAGTATCTATTGCCCGCTTGAGTTCAGCTTATCTGAAATCGAAATCATCACTGACAAGCCGCAGGCACCACAGCAGTTGATGCAAGCTATGTCAAGCTATCACTGATCTGTCCGTTCATGTTGGCTCCCAGGAGACCCGAGATACGAAGACGCAGCTGGATAGTCTGCTTTGACCTCAGCACCGAGGTTCCAAGGGGCTGGCTGCACTTGTTGGCCTGAAAGGCCTAAAGAGTATGTCAGGGGACGGCATGGTGAGTTGCTGTGGCGGTCTTGTTCTAGTGCGTGGCGGGATCCTGCAGTTCAGGGCAGCAGGTACATTGGCTGCCTCGAGTTCAATCTTGCGTTGGCTCGAGCATGTTGCTAGACAAGCGCAAGCGGGCGCAGGGATGCCTATCACAATATGACTGTACATGGACACCCCCTACATGTGTGTCACTGCGCGTGTGTTATGCCAATGTCAATGAAGTATGAAACCCTAGTTCTAAGGCGTGCATTCCAGGCTCGATGGACTTGTGGCATGAAGAGCTTGATGAAGGCCAAACAGATCACGGCATGGTGTGCCGGCTGAAGCAGGCAACGAGGGTAGTGCAACGCCCCCCCCCCCCAGTAAGTAAAACAATTGCAACCCGTGATTTCCCTTCGAGTTCCAAGAATTATCTCGACTTTGTTCGCGCGCGTATTCTTGACCTTGCTGCCTCTACCTTGGCTTTGGGCCTGGCCAAGCTTGTGGAGCTCTCGCTGAGAGAGTTGCTGCCGAGGTGGTTTCCTCAAGCGGTGGCTGCCTACTTGGACGGGCATGGCGCCTGTTGGCATGGTTGAGCCGCAGTTGGTTCCACCCCGGCGGGGGCGAACATGTAAATTAAGAAAACCTCGGTGGAGCAGACGAATGGTGTAGTTTGCATATTTTTCTGTTTGAAGGGGCGTCTCTGTCAGTTTCCGCTGCTACTCGTAGTGGCTGAAAGAGTATGGACAGCCATGACTGTTGAAATCAAACACGTCCTCCCCCCTTCCCTGCATAATTCCCAGACTCCATGTCCAACCGATTCCCTATTCCTGAGGAATGACGGGCCTGCAAGGTCCGTCAGCATGGCGGGCCTTTTGAACCCATCTACCTCCAATCCTCAGCCCGCGACTAGCCCTAAAACCACAAAACTCGCCCGCGAAAAATTCAAGACGTCCAGGTCCCCGACCCTGCCGCGTTGCGCTGGGGTCATTATGTTGACTGTTTCTGGGGGTTATCAAAGTCAGACGAGTTTTTTCATGGTAAAATAATGAGGTCATGTGCGTTGCAGGCAAGAACTTTGACTTTGCAGTGCTCATGGACAGCGACACGCTCTTCGTGGGCCTCGTGCCCAGAACCCATGGCCACTGAAGCGCTTGGATGCGCAAGGTCTATGCCAGTGGAACGTGGGGAGGCGTTTATTTCTTGGGGGATGCTGGTCACTTGGCCCCCCCCCCAAAGAAATGATTGATATTATATATAGCGCCCCCAAGTGGGGCACAGCGTGTCTTTCTCTTTGGGGATGATGGTCTTTTGGGCCCCCCAAAGAAATAGTTCATGTATTTCTAATGCCCCCAAGTGGGGCACAGCATGATGGTTGTTGGTTGGGAATCTGGGCAGATGGCTGCAGTATGCTGCATCGACAGCTTGTGCTTTCGAGCTCGTCATGAGCTCCCTCACACATGCAAGGCTACCACTCCACCAGCCGAGGTCCTTTGGGTCGACAATTGGCACCTTCAGCTGCAAGAAGGGGTGAGTCGGCTTGTGCGGGTCCAGTGGCAGTGCAGCATTCTGCCTCAGCTCGGCAACTCTAGATATGTGTTGATTGAACCTAGGTGTCGACAGCACCCTACGTAGTTATGTATGCATTTGCAGATGTACACATCAATACATATGTATATATACTTTTTTATCATTGGTGGTGAGTAAGGTCCGAAGACATGGTCATGTTGCTCGCACGGCTGGTGGGTAGTGCTCAAAAGCAATGTTGGGATGCCCAAAGGATGTGAACCCAGGATCAACAAACCTTCATGGAGGATTTTAACACGTGGTGTGCCATTGAGGGGCCGGGGGGGGCGGGAGACAATCCACATGAATCCACCAGGTTCTTTCTCGGGTGCCTTTCTGTGGAGCACTCAAAGACCTAATGGGATCTATGGGGCTGTTTCGGGGGTATCTCAACCACCTGGGGGGCCCTTGAATACCACACAGAATGCCATGGGTGGTTTTTTCTTTTGTATTGGTTGCGTCCCTTAGGCAACGAGTTCAGCGATGGGACGGCCTGTCCGGTTTTTCAGACTGTCAGCTCTCATCCTTGGCTTCCAGGCGCCGACAGTAGCAGCGACCTCAGCTGAAGTTAGAGACTGGGAGCCCAGCGGTGTGTCTTTGTTTTTGTCGCTGGGTGTGACCCATAGAGACCGGTTTGACATCAGCTACGGCGCACTAGCAATCACCAGGCTGTTGTCCCTTGTGTTTGGGTGCGGCCTGTGTGGCAAGGATTGGGACGTGGCCTTCACGGTCTATGACCCAGCCTTTTGCCTGCAAAGGGCTCTCAAAAAGTCGGACGGCTCGGCTGGCGGATGAATGTCAACTGTCAGTGCCCTTGTCCAAGACAAAAGGCAACGATTGGATCACAGACGCGTCCAGCCCCCTATTCACACGGGGTAACTCAAGGAGTTTCAATTTAATTAAATACTACTGCGTTTTACATGCCAAGCAAGAGTCATGGGAAGGCCCCACGCATGCTGCGTAAGCGCCGGAGAAAGCTCTGCTTCGTGGCTGCTTGCAAAAGTTGTTGAATGCCAGGGGTTTAGCCGTTTGATGTCCAAAACACAAGGCTGAAGCAGGCTGGTAAGGTTTGCGTAAGCTCGGCAATTGCACGGCTTTCTGGCCGACGCCTTCTGGCCGCGGCCATTGATTGAGCGGTCGGCCAAGTCCGACGCGCTGAGGGCTAAGCGAACCACCCCGCAAAGAACCGCAGCCAAGCTGATCCGCCGGAGGGCAATTCGTCCACTTTTAGTCAGAATCATCCATGTGAGTTTTCTTGAATGGCGGCATAGGAAAGGCCGCGTAAGCAATTCCTGAGAAGAAGCGCACAACGCACTGATTCGCCAGCAGTGCATAAGCTTGACATGCTGACTGCCGGGTAAGCTAAAACGTGGATCGCGTGAGGCACCAGCAAGCTAGCGACGGTCCACTTTATCTAGGTCCCCCAGTAGTGCCCTTAGTTACTGTAACTTTTTTTGGGGAGGGTTCCCTTACTAAAATAGACTACAGGAACAAAAGTCGGGTACCAACTTATTCTAACCTCTCAAATCTGGAGGACCTAGTTATCATTTTGAGTGTAGCTTGCCGTTCGACACTTTTGATCAAACGCAGGCCATGAAGGTGCCCTGGAGCGACAACCCCGCGGAGGCAGGAGGCTGAAATTTCTGGAAACTGGGGCGCGATTCGTATTTTGCTTGAGCCAAAGTTAAATGAATGGAACTCTCAATCCACAAGGCTGCCCAACAAGCGCTGGCTGTCATCAATCCTTGCATTTGAGCCCATTTAGCAGTTGGCATTTAGCCCCAAGCCCCTCGCTTGTGCAAGATCACCCACATGGCAAGTGATGAGCTTCTTTTGCAAGATGACCTGACCAAAGGAGGGGCAAAGAGGGGTTTCCACACTGATGACTTCCATTTTCAATTCACCCATATGCGCCTCCTTCTGCAAGGGGCGTGAACGTGGACTTGAAGTTGATGATCTCTCAATTTGCCCTTTGAGCCTTTGCCTCTGGTCGTGTGCGCCCTTTTTTCCTGTTTTTTTGGAAGGTTTCCCCTTGAAACTCAACCAACCAAGAAAGGATGCCCTTTTTTCCATTGCCACTGGGCATCTGAGTAGAGCTTTGCCCCTGGTTGGTATTTTTGGCCCCTGTCCGAATCGGCCAGCTGAGTCACGGCCAGGCTGGCAGGAGCTCCCGGGGGTGGGAAGTCAGAGTGAGCCTCGGAGTGAAATGGAAGTGGGTCTTGCTTACTCCCTGCAGTTGTTCAGTGGCGCCCTTCCCCCCCCCTTGTTTGGGGGGGGGGGTGGCCCCACTAAAAGGGGTCTTCCCCAAAAAGGGCTCCCTTTTTTCCAGGGTCACAGAACAGCTGAGCTGAGTTCCTGGACTTTGAAGACTTTTTTGGGGTTGGACCATTCTGGTGAAATGAAAAGTTACGACTTGTTTTTGGCCAGTCCACTCAGGAAGTGAGAGAAGAGTTTTCCCCAGCCCTCTCATTCAAGGCCCAGCAAAAAGACCCTTTCTGTAGGGGGATTCGGCTGGGACCTCTGCGCTGTTCGAGGTGTTTGCGATCGCAAGCTGGGTTTTTGTTGCCAAGCATTGCGGAAATATGTGGCAACAGCCGATTTGTCAACCGCTGAGCGCGTGAAGGGAGCCACGCCCGTTCCATCAACTTGTTCTTTTTGCTTCGCGAAGCTTCGCAGGACGCCCAAAGGCTATGCCCGCATCAACTGCGGGGTGGTGCTCTTGAACCTCGCGGATCCCTCCCTGGCTGCTCGGACATGGGATGTAGATACTTGTGGCAAGGTGTGCGTGGCAAGGTTTGTAGCTCCCTCCACCTGTTGTGAAGAATGCGGAGCCATCCGCAACTGTGGAGTGAGAACTCAATATCGGCAGATTCTTGAGATGTTTGCTGTGGGTCAAAACCCTTGCGATCCCATTTTGGGGTACGTGCACCACCCATTTTAGTCTATTGTAGTGGGGATTGGGATGCGCACAGGGGGTACGATTTGGATTTCGCCCACGGCCATTTTGCCTTGCGTGGCGCTGAATGTCTGGCTGGCCCCATCGCGAAAATGGGCGCGAGCGAGGGCCCGTGTAAGTCAGTTTGCATGATTGTTTTCGATGTTTTTCGATGTTTGGTTATTCAATTCTCAAAAGCCCCCTGCAAAATCGATCTTTGACAATGGCACGCCGGAGAGTTTCTCTGAAGCCGGGTTCAGTGAACCCAGGCTCGGGTTTGTGCCGCCAGCTCCGTTGCATGACATCCATGTCTCAGATGCGGCGTGGAAATGAGGTCAACTTCTTGGCCCCAATCCAACCACTAAAATAGGTTCTAAAATGGGTGGTGAATTCACCGAAAACCACCACAGCCATGTATGTTTAAATCAGGCCCCCCGACCTGGAGCAGGCGTTCGACACGTGCAAGGGAGGCCCCTCAGCCTTAGCTCTTCTCGAGTTGCTTTGGCCCATGGCTCTCTGAGACTGAGGTCGTGCGGTTCTTACAGAAGTGGACGCTGCTCGGCGGAGATTGCAGGGTCTGAGGCAAGGATTGTTGAAGTCTGGCTGTTTTTCTGGAAGATGTCCCGGCTGTTTGGCGGGGGGTCAGCCTATGCGTTGCCTTCAGCCCAGGCACGTCTCAGCTGTGATGATGGAGCTCCACCAGGCCCGGAAGGGGGGGGGGCAGCACGATTTAGCCTTAGCTGCAGCCAGCACCAAGAGCACCAGCACGCCAACATAGCTATGGGTCAAAGCCAATCCATTTTGGGGTAGGTGCACCACCCATTTTTAGAACCTATTTTAGCGTGATTGGGATGTTCACTGGGGGTACGGGATTTTGGCCACATTGCCACGACCAAGCTGCCACAAATCACAACCGCGCCTCTGCCGGCGCTCTGGTAGCACTGCAACTACCAGCGCTGCCAATGCCACGAGTTTTTCCACTTCCACTGTCTTTGCAACTGCCACCATCACTGACAGCTGAAGCGCTTGACGTCAAGTGCGAAGAGCTGCACCAGCAACTGCTAGTGGCCGCATTGATGGCAACACACCCTTTAGGCTGTTTTCCAAATGAAGTGAACAGCCTTTTGGGGTTCGCATATGAGCCAGTCTCAGGCTGTATCCTCGACGGACGGCTCCAGTGAGTCGGGCGCCTCAGGTGCTCAAAAGGGGTCGGACGTCGCGCAGGCCAATCATTCTACTCCATGTCAGTTCCTTCCATTTGCTTAACTTTGTTTTTGTTTATTTTCCCTTGTTAGTTTTAAAAGGAATTTACTACTGAAAATATATTCCTTCTTTTTCCGGGCGTCTTAACCAAATGGAAGGTTCGCTTTGGCTTGGTTTCCAAGAGGCCATCAAGCTTGCGTGGGAGATTGCAGGAGGTAGCCCTTTTTTAGCGGGGGGAGGCGACCTCGGAGGTCTCGGGAGAGCTGCTTACACGCCTACGCCATGCCTTAGGGCCCGTTCGAAGGACCGGCAATGTATGGATGAACTCCTTGCCGGGTTTCAAGGAAAGCCAAAAGGATGCCCGCCATTTTTTTGTTTGGGGCTTCTGTAACAGATACCCATACATGTTATTTTGCTCACGCAGTGTCTAAGGAGAAGTCGTAGAGCTTGATGCGCATTTGATCCTTGGTATTAACCAGAGGCTCCTGTAATTTTGGGACAGGTTCTGGCGCCTGGGAGGTGTTCGCTGGCGGGCTGTTAGCAAGAAAGAGCTTACCGCAACCTCATCATTGTATACTCCACCCTATGGTTTTCACGCCATTTCAAAAGCGCCCCGCAAAATCTAACATTAAAAACTTGCATAAATCCCGTAAAAATCAATCCACCCACCAATTGTTTTAAGTTATTCATAAAAGCATAACTTAAACCAACTCAATTTTCTTTAACCTCATTCTTTTTTAAATTCTCAATATGCTTATCTGTTCTTTCATGTCTTGCCTTGTTGCATGTTCTGACTTCACAATTACAAACATCACAATGATAAGTTTTTTGTCTGTATGCATTTTCCCTTGCTTTTACTTCTTCGTTTTTCCTGTTTTCTCTCCTCCTTTCATTTACTGCATCCCTTCGTTCTACTGTTTGGCGATGCCGTTTGTTCCTTCCCTTCTCACGGCACTTGTCGCAATTTGTGTAGGGTTCAGTGAACAATTCCACACGCCTATTTGATTGACAACCTGAGCAATATTTCTTATCCATAATCCTTACATAGTAAGGCATCATCCCTTTAAATGGTTTTAAACCAAAACCATAACGAGGTCTGGGTAAGCCCCCTGTCCCGAAAAAAAACCACCAAACAACAAACCACACAAAAACCAAACAACCGACCATACAATAGACAATTACAAACCCCTCTAAACAAAACGAAACGGCAGATGCACACAGGCAACTGGTAGATGCGCAGACATGTAGATGCCTTTTGGTGGCGCTTCCTGTGTCCTGTGGTGAAGCATCCTAACCTTAGGATTGTTGCATCCTAACCTTAGGATTGTTGCATCCTAACCTTAGGATTGTTGCATCCTAACCTTAAGATTTTTGCATCCTAACCCTAGTATTTATGCATCCTGATATATATATAGATATTGGTGTTTTATCTATTTTATAAACTATGGATTTCACCCTTAGAATTCATTATTTTCAAAATTTTAAAATTAATAATTTTTACTCTTTTGTCATTGGATTAACCTAGAAATTTCAAGTTTCAACACCAACCCCAAACTCGTTTTCCTTAATCCACCAAACTCACCAAAATTTCACAAATCAAATCAGCAGGTATTTTGTATAAATCTTCTTGCTTATGCTTTACATAATTCTCGCACCAATTTTCCCGCTTTCCACTTGGTGCCCGTTGCGCAGTTTCAATATGTTTGTTATTAACAACTTTACCACAATCTTTATTACATAATGGTCTGGGTTTCCATCCAGAGGATGTAAAAGGGACTTCGTCCCGTTTCCATTTGTTAAGATTGTTCCACAACCTAGTTCGCTTCCTGTAATTAAATCCATATTTGCAATAGTCAATGTCATTAAACCTTAACCCATTCATAAAAGACTGACTTTTCAATAATCCAGTCTGTGGATTTTCAATAACAAAATACGGCCATCCGAAATATTCAATAATCTCTATTGTTTTTAATACAATGCTATTAGCATATTCAATGTTTCTTATTCCTGTTGTTTTTGCAATACTGTATTCTGTGCAAGGTGGCGATGCCCAAATGAATGAGAAGTGGTTTCTGTCAAACTGCTTATAATCCCATTCAAGTATATCACAATTAATATCAGCATTTTTCAAATCCAACGATATTACATTAAAACCGAGCGACTTTGCAATAAGTCCAACACTGCCTGTTCCACTAAACATCTCTAATAAATTCATTTATTAGAATGATTTAGATATTTATTATATTAATCCATAAGTTTATATTCATCACCATCTTTCGCGATTTTATAGTATTCTAAAGTTTGTTCTTTTGGGTTCTTAATGCGCCCGTTGGACACCATCTCAAAATAAGATTGTCTTTTAGTTTCATGGTCGCCCGAGGTTCGCCCTAATCCTTTCTTTTGAAAGATTTTATCCATCTTCTCCTTATCGTCTTCGTTATTGCTTTTAGGTTGGTTTATTTTTTCATCGATATTCTTAATAAGTTCAGTTAATGTTTTAATATTCTTACTAATAATTATAATCTTTTTCATTAAATCATTAATTGTAGAATCATCATTTTCTGACATTTCTATATATAAATATTTATATAATTATTTATTTATTTATTTATGCGTTTTATTATACAATTTACCTGAATAATATAATTTTATGTATGTAAATAAATTATATTCTAACAGTCTTTCATCAATTTTATTTTTCAATTTTATTAAACCTTCATCACTACCTGTAATTTCAAAAAACTTCAACATTTTATCAAATTTTTCCGGTTTAGTTATACCTTTCATAAAATATTTATCATTGAATTTAGCATCTAACCAATAAAAGTATTCTTCGCTCAATTGTTTAGCAAAGTTTACATCACCATTGAATATGTCGTTAATTTCTTCATTGTCGAAAGTTATAATTCTATGGTCTTCTCCATTCATAGTTGGCATTATGATTATATAAATATTTATATATTTATTTATTTATTTATTTATTTATGCGTTTGAAGTGGTGTTAAATCTACTCCTTAAATGCTAATTTTTCATCATTTGTTTAATAGTTTCTTGTGTTTCGTTATCGCCATTTTCCGAGTGTGTAGCTTCATTTCCAAATTTGATAGAAATATTATGTGCATCTGTTTCTAAGTTGATGCCGTCTTTAGTTTTATCAATGTTCATTTTTTTATCTGTTTTACTTATTTTAAAACCAACTGGTATACAACTGCATTTGCAGTTTCCTTTCTTTTCTATTGATAATTCATTCTTCGTCTGTAATATTTTTTTACACATCGGGCAAGCGAACTCAATAACTGATGTTTCTTTAACAATTTCTTCTTTATCTTCATCTGTTGAAGATACAGCTGGTTCTGTCTTATTCTTTTTGATTTTCTTTCTTCCCATCTATATTAATATTTATATTTTTAATATATTGTATCACAAACTTAATTAATTCTAAAACAAAATAGCATACTCTTTTAAATCTATTATCGGTTATAACAACATCTTCTATATGTTGTACTTCATTTATTATATCAATATAATCTGAATAACTCCTATTCATATAAATAATAAGATGAAATAATTATTTAATCTTATTATTTCATGCATAATAGAATATTGATGGGGGCACAGCACTTGGAGTTTTCATTGCACTGGACAACGCAAGCGAGGTTCAAACTAATTCAAACTAATTAGCTTCAATGCTTACTGATTGAAGCAATGGAAACCTGTTCCGTTTTTATGATATTCACTACCAGCATATCATAAAAAAGATGTTCCATTTAATATTAAATAGAATATGTATTTAAACTATTTTCTTTACTAAGTTTCATTGCAGTTGATAGAATAACATCTCTAATATTAATATCAATAACTTCTTGTACACTATTTATCATTTCATTTGTATACATATCGGGATAATCTTTCATAAAATTTACTAACTTTCTAAAATTAAAATCTAGGTTATTGTCATTTTCAATTGAGGACTTGGATACTACGATATTTTGTTTTTTAATTGCCGATAAAAAGTATAACATTGTATCATAATATATTTGTTCAGTGTCGGGCACTAAGATATCACCAAATTTATATATCCTCCGAATACTATTTACTTCACTTAAATTAATAGACTCTATAGATTCTATTGTCATTATGATATAATTATATTATATATTTTTTTATTTATAAGTATTTATAGTATTATTTTTATTATGCCTGATGTAAAACCAACTGATGAAATCAAATATGACTTTAAGCAAAGTAAGCACGAGGTCGTCCCTAAATTGCCGATGAGAGCTATGATTGTAGGCCCGTCTGGTTCTGGAAAGAGCACCCTACTTGTATCAATGATACTTGATATTTATAGAGGTGCATACGAAAGAATTTTTATCTGGTCCCCATCTGTAAATTTGGATAGTATTTGGTTGCCTGTCAAAAAATACATGAAAGAAGGTTTGAAAGTAGATACTGATAAAGAATCGTGTTGGTGGGATGAGTTCAATGTTGTAGATGTAGAAAGAGTTATAGAAACTCAAAATAAAATAATTGAATATCAGAAAAAGCAAGGAACGAAGAAGTTATTTAATATTTTGATAATTTTAGATGATGTATCTGATAATCCAGCAATAACAAGAAATAACAAATTGTTAAATTCTTTATTCTGTAGGGGACGTCATAGTGGAATATAACGCTTGTCAGTCTTCAGAAATCATCAAGTGTCCCACCAATTATTAGAGTAAATATAAGTCATTTGTTTTATTATAAAGTTAGAAACTTCAAAGAGATAGAAATATTACAAGATGAATTATCAGCAATTGTTAGAAGCGATAATTTACACGAAAGCAAGAAACTAATTTATAAAATCTATGAGACTGCAACTGATGAACCTCATAGCTTTCTGTATATTAACCTTTTAGAAAAGAACCCAGATAAAATGTTTATGAAAAAGTTTTCACAATATTTGAAAATAACTAATCAATAACATTAAATTTAT